AAGTGTCTAATTAAGTAAAACATTCTAACGGAGGAATTTCGCGTGGTGAATTCAGAGGGCAGCCACGGGGTTGTAGATGTAATTAACAAGAAGACAGTGCGGGCAAAATACTTCACCTGCTTTGAGTAGGAGTTTAGGTGAAAGCCCCTGGCTCCATCCATTGTCTAGAACTGTGAGTTTGTGTTCTAGTATATAAAGGACCATAGGACTCTGCAGGCAACAAGCTGGAAAATTAACAGCCACATTGAGCCACAAACATAAACTGAGAAGAGTATTGCAGTGTACTAGTGGTGGCTGACAGTGCCTCTCCCTCTCCAGAGAAAGCAGGCTATCATTGTTTTGGGAATGGAAAGGTGTGGACATTGACTATATGGTGTAGGACTTTCTGAACCAGGGACAGGGCTTTCATACTATATTCTGGATATCATGGGGAACCTTAAGAGAGATGAAGAAATCTAACAATGTATACCTTAAATAACAATGTACTGAGCTGAAAATTACATATAAAGCTGCAAGCAGTTACTTATTGCCCACTTCACTGCTCCCTTGAAGCATACTCAATAAACTGTTCTTTTTTAATGGTGCAGAATAGCCCAAATAGCCTCAAGTCTTAGTGTTACCAGCTAGCTGGGGGGCCTTTCCCCAGACAGAAGTAGTAGGCAAGTTAGAAGATTTCCAATTAGTGGTCTTTGGCAATTTTTTTCCTCTGTGTTTGACGGCAAGTCAGGTGGTTGCTGCAGCAGATGGTGGCACAGCTTCAAAAAGGCTTGTTTGAGACAGTTTGTATCACAGCTTTTGCTACCACGAAACCTGGAGAATTCAGAAAAATCCACCAACTTGAAGTGGAACATTTCCTCAATTGGCCTACCAGTAGGATTGCTGTGATGGGTGCTGAAGAGGCAAGGCTGTAGTTGGTTCAAACACAGGTCACAATAGCTGTGACTGGTGCTAAGAGGCAAGGCTATGATTGTCTAAAGCAAATGGCCATGATTAGAGAAAATACTTATAGAACTAAAGGTTCACATACTAGAAGCCTGAATAAAAACTCTGCCACTAAAATGTACCATCTGCTGCGGCTACCACGTGCCTATTCCTGCCAAACACTGAGATAAACAAAATCTTCCATAGAATAGTGCTTGAAGACATTCTTCTCACCTACTCACAATTTCCCTTTTTGAGTTTTTGTACATTATTAGCTTTCACTTTTATTAGTAGGTCTAAGTATATCAGGACACTTACACGCTAGTATAGAACAGTTCTAATAAATGGTTCTTCACCATACCCACATGTATATAATATTCCATATGCATATACATGCTGTTGGGTACACTCCCTGGACAGCAGCATCCACTTCACTCTGGTACCAACCTGATATATCTTTTATTCACATTGTTTTAATTAGTATTGTTCTAATGGTCTGTTCACCCTACTGCCCAAAAAGCTGGGGGTGGGAAGAGATCAACGTGTTCAGAAATGCATGCCCCTACAAGATTGGAATTATACACAGCTTGTAAGCCTGTAAGGCATTTCCTTAATCAGTGATTGATGGGGGAGGGCCCAGCCCATTGTGGGTGGTGCCTGGGCTGGTGGTCCCGGATTCTATAAGAAAGCAGGCTGAGCAAGCCATGGGGGAGCAAGTCAATAAGCAGTGCTCCTCCATGGCCTCTGTATCATCTCCTGCCTCCAGGTTCCTGCCCTGTTTCTGTTCCTGCCCTAACTGCTTTTGATGATGAACTGTTAAATGGAACTGTGATTGAAATGAACCCTTTCATCTCCAAATTATTTGGTCATGGTGTTTCATAACAGCACTAGTAAACCTAAGACAACTACCAAAGAGCTTTTAGAAATGGGTTCACTCTCTTGTCCTTTTGCCTTCCACCATGTGAGAATAAGGCAAGAAAGCACTCATCAGATGCCATCACTTACTGGACTTATTGGCCTCCAAAACTATGAAGAAATGTATTTCTGTTCTTAATGAATTACATAGTCTTGGGTATTCTGCTACAGCAGTACACACAGACTGAAGCTATGAGTAGGTAAAGATAATGAGGGGTAGAGGGAGGGCATGGTAGTCATGTTCCACAGAGCATAGGGATGGCAGTAGAGAAGACAGAACTGACCATTCAGCAGAGGGGGTAACAGAGGCACCAAGCATCAGAGTGAATACAAAAGGAGGCAGTCTTGTGGTAGAGTAGGATTATCATGGGTAGGACAAGGTAGGACAGTATTAAAGAATGTAGAGAAATGTTGGCCTACTGTGAGGACCCTGTATCCAAGTTTGGTACATTCCGTTACCTTTTGTATATACCCAATCCTTCTCTCCCTGTTTCTTTCTGATATTTCTGAGTTTCTACCTGTCTTTATCTCCCTTTATTATTGTGTATATGTTATGTTTTTCTTTCTTTTGTGTCTCTTGTTTCCTAACAGAGTTGTCATTAGGGAAAGTGGTACAGTCCCCAGCCCTCTACCTTCTGTGTTCCAGAATCTATAGTTCAGACTAGTGATCATAGAGCCCAGAGTTCCAGAATGTCCCTTTTTTGATCATCACAGGATGAGTTTGAGGAAAGGAATCAGATAGGAGGGATTTTGGGTGCCATGCAGGTCTGGGGCACTTTTGTAGTGACTTTGGCCACACTGATGGTTGTCACTGTGGATGCCAAGATTTATGAACGGTGTGAGCTGGCAAGGAGGCTGGAGAAGGCTGGCCTCAATGGCTTCAAAGGCTACACTGTTGGAGACTGTAAGATTCCCTTTGCCCTAAGTCTTATTCATATCCCAATTCATCCACCTCATCCAGACCTAGGCTTCTTTTGTAATTATTCATCTTTTGGGGCCAGGACACAATCTTTTCAGTCACCACCTGATTATGATGACTAGTTTAATTCAACTGCAAAGTCATCATCACCACTTTCTTTACAATCTTTGTCTCTACCATCCACACCATCATTATCATAAATATCATCACAATTATCACCATTCATAGCATTGATGATAGGTCACCAGAATCAACAATCCACAACCAATCCAAGACCACCAGCTTCATAATCATATCTGTGTTCTTCCCTCTTCTCTTAGCCGTCCTTGTTCTTATGTGTATGCCCACCTCCTAACTACCCTCTCTCTGTTCCAGGGCTGTGCGTAGCACACTATGAAAGTGGCTTTGATACCTCCTTTGTGGACCACAATCCAGATGGCAGCAGTGAATATGGCATTTTCCAGTTGAACTCTGCGTGGTGGTGTAACAATGGTATCACACCCACTCAGAACCTCTGCCACGTGAATTGTAATGGTAAGGCAACCCTGGGGACATACAGAAGCCCTGTCTGACCCCCATATCACACACATAAAGCAATTTCTTTTGTTGTTGCTGTTTTTGTTTTTGTTTTTTTTTTTTTGTGATAGGGTCTTTCTTCAGACTGGCCTCAAACTCAGAGATTCTCCTGCTTCTGCCTCCTGAATGTTAGGAGTACCAACACATCTGGCAGGAATATCTTTTAAATCTTAATCTTTTGCTGAGGCAGAAAAATAATGGGCAAGGAAGAAATTCTCTGGGTTGATAGATAAAACTTCCTGAATCCTTAACCAGTCTATACCAAGAGGTCAGAAATAGTGCAAATACCTACCACCCCCAACCTCACTTAAAATGCAAGCTGAAATTTTCTTGATATTTGGGGAACAAGAAACTTTACTCCATGTGAAATAGAGGGGATGAATGTTCTGCTTTGGGATGAAGGCTATCCAGGCTCCTGAGGAAAGAAGCACAAGCATGGAAATCAGAACAAAATCAAACTACCCTAGGAATGAAATGCGAGAACTCTCCAGACAATAATGTGGTACTGTTGAGGAAAAATGTAATACAAATTGAAATTTCTCTTAAGGCTGAGGTCTACAACAGGCCAAAATGGAGACTATGGTTATCTGACGCCAGACCAAGTGGAGGTTTAGGTCATCTAAGTCTTGTGAACATGACAGAGTAGGTCATCAAAGATTGGCACGACTGAAGGTTGAGGTGGTTCAAAATCTCAGATGAACTGAGACAGGGCAAATGAATAATGAGCTTTTAAATGAGTAGGTAAAATGAAGATTAAAGTGGTCAGTCTGGGACAACATGACCATTAAGATCATTTAGGATTAGCTAAAACAGAGGACAAATTATAACTAGTCACATTTGTAGTTAAGATTATCTAGGGAGCTGGAGAGATGGCTCAGTGAGTAAGAGTGCTTGATGCTCTTCCAGAGGACCCAAGTTCAGTTCCTAGCACTAATGGTGGATGGCTTAGAACTCCTTCTAACTCCACTCCAGGGGATCTGATACACTCTTCTAGCCTCCATGGGTACCCTGACAATTGTGGCATATACCCACACATACATATAAATAATAAAAATAAGATTTTCCAGGACTAGTCAACATGGTTATTGAAATCATTAGGCAAATGGAAAATAAATATTTTCCTGGTCTAGCCAACATGACAGTTCAGATCATGTAGAATTATGCACTATGATGGGTAAAACTGAACACAGCTGGCCAGTATAAGGATTAAGGGCATTTATTTATTCATTTTAAAAGATTTATTTATTTTCATTTTATGTGTATGAATATTTTATGGGCATGCATATATCTGCACTATGTCCATACCTGGTACTTGTAGATGGTTAAGAAAAAGGTTGTCAGATCCTCTGGAACTGGAGTTACAGATTGTTGTGGGTTCATGTAGGTCTTCTTCAAAAGGAGCAAGTGCTCATAACTGCTGCACTATCTCTTCAGCCCTGATTGAGTTTATTTATAGCAGTCAGATAGGAGTTTAACCTATCAAGGACTTAAGCACACAGGGTTTGAAGTCATTAGGAATGACCAACATGGAAAGAAAGTAGGTTCCCAATTAGTCACATGGTAGTTGAGGTGAAGCCAGACCAGCCAACCTATAGTTGACATCATTCATTTAGAGTTGGCCAATGTGCAGTTGGAGGGTGTCCAGGGTCTCATTGTGGTGGTTGGGATTATTCATAACCAGCCAACATGATAGTCAAAGTCAAACAGGATCATTCAACGTGAGTTAAGATTGTGTAACACCAGTCAACATGGCAGGTGAAACAGTTTATGACTATCTAGCAAAGAATGAAAGCTATTTAAGGTTATTTGGGCCCTAAGGGATCCAGAAATCTTAGGGCCTTCAAACACTCTAGTGCACCAGGTCACCCCATCCTTCTCTCTCCCCAACCAGACCTGCTCAACCTTCAGATTCTGGATGACATCATGTGTGCCAAGCGGGTTGTAACCTTACACAAGAGTATGAATGCCTGGTAAGTTCATTGGGATGGTCTGGATTTTGGACAGTCACAAAGAGTGATCCTACTATTCTATCAACTTGTCCACTTCATTTTCCCTTTCTCCTTTCATTTCCCAGGGATTCTTGGAGCCGGCACTGTTCTGGTCATGATTTATCTGAATGGCTCAAGGGATGTGAGGTGCATCTGAAAAAAGACCCAGGCGATACCGACTGGTGACTCAGATTTCATAAGAATCGAGATTTCATTTTTTCTTTTTTTGTTTAATAAAAGATGGCATCTATAAATAATGCAAGATATACTACCTGTCAGATGCTTTCATTTTCTTCATGTTTTCCAGAGTCTGAAAGTATTCCCATTCAATCCTTTCCTCCACAGCTTCATAGATCTAATCTGGAGATACAAGATCACTTAGGGGTGGGCGAGGATGGTACAGTAATCAAGAGCATAGATTATCTTTGGTTTAAATATGGTATCTACCACTTACTGATTGTGCTTCATTTAAAGACTCACTGAATTTTTCTCTGCCTGTTTCCAAATCTGAAAAATGGGGATAATAATGAGAGCAATAACTCATGGGCTTATTTGGAGGATTTAATGAACTGATATTTGGAAAACACATATAGTGCTTACATAAAAATTCCATTAAAGATCTGCATGGGATAGTTTATGCTTATAATACCAGCACTCAAAGATCACATGCATAAGGCCAACATGCCTACATAGTGAGACTCTGCTTAAAAAAGGTCAGTTGCAGATTTGGATAGAGGCGTTGGGTGTAAGGATATGAAAGATATCTTACCTTAAAAAGCATCATTTTCAGATGAGGTCATTTACAGGGTCTTTATTTAAGACATTTACAGTTTCTTCAGGGGAGAATGAAATTAAATACAGCTTACATAGTTTGAACTGAGAATTGAAAATATTCACATTTTCCACATTTTCCCAAATACTACCACTCTAAGCCCCAACCTCCCATTACCTCTTTCATAATCAAAATCCAAAGTTGCAAATGACAGACTTGGAATTTAGGCAAGGAATTCAATGCATACACAAATCAATAATTTCTTTTTACAGATATCCTGGGTTTCAGTTTGTGTCTCGAACAGAGCTGTTAAGAATTTCCCACTTGCTCTCATTTCCCTGGGCAGTCCTATTGGAAGTAGCTATTCTCAGGAAGTAGTTGCTTATGTCCTTTGTAGTCCAAGGTCAGGGGTGGCTACTCAGCTACACAATGCCTTGCTTTCAGTGTTCATAAAAATAAACAGGAATGATTATTAAAAATTGCTACCTGTCTCTGTATGGCAAGGAGAGTTCAAGATCCCTTCCTTAATGTCAACTGGAATTCCCCTATATTTTTCCCCAATCAGTATAGATAACCAAATTTCACATCTTCATGGGGGTCCTTAAAGGGTGCCACCATGCTGGCTATTGACAGAATTCTAAATGTGGTAGGCATTCATCAAAACAGTAGGAATAAACTCTGATAAATTTGTGTAAAAAAAGTTCTTCTAAAGTATATTAGGCAGCTTATGGTCCTTCTTGGAAGTTTATAGTCCTCCCAGATCAGGCTGGGGTGAAAATACTGGCATTATCAACTGTTATTACGGCTTAAAGCTGGAATTTGATATTCTAGTGGTATCTTCTTTACATTGTTTGGACTATTATAATAATTTGGAATTTTATAATATCTTCTTTGTTATTCCTTTAATGTTAATATTTAATTCTTTAACTTAAAATTGTCTGGTAAACAACCTTTTCTAATACATGCTTGTCTATTTTTCTATGAGTTTGATAATGAATTTGGAAACATCTATTTCCCTTATTTCACTTCTGAGGAAATATGTTTATTGAAATTAGTCGAGTTTCCTTTGATACTTATGTCCACATTTATGATGAGGTTTGTTTTCCAACTGACAGTTTTCATACATTCAAAGACTTCAAACAATGTCAGCATTGAGCAACCTCTTTGATGGAACATGATCATTCAATAGATCCATGATGTAAAAGTACAAAGACCAAGTTTTTTGCTTTAAGAAAGAGGGTCTTCCTATTCCTTTTACCCAGAATAATCTTCTCTCAATATGGCTGGTGCTAAATTTTAAGCCCAACTGACATAGCTGCAGAAAAGCATCCTAACTACAGCACAGTTTCATTTTCTTGGACTTTACTATGACAGATTTTCCATTTTCAATTCTTTGTTTTCTCTTATCTCTAAATTCTCTAATCCATGATGAACTTTGACCTCTGGAAAGTTTCTTTCCAATTCAGAGCAGTCATAAGGTTTTTCTCCTGTGTGCGTTCTCTGATGCACAGTGAGTTTGGACTTCTCTCTGAAGGCTCTGCTACACTTATCACATTGATAGGGTTTCTCTCCTGTATGGGTTCTTTGATGAATAATGAGATATGATTTCTGGGAGAAAGATTTCTCACATATATTACACTCGTAGGGTTTTTCCCCTGTGTGGACTCTCTGATGAATAATGAGATATGATTTCTGGAAGAATGCTTTATCACATTCATTGCATTCATAGGATTTTTCAAATTTCTCTCTTGTATGAGCTCTCTGATGTAACATAAGGTATGATTTTCGGGAGAAGACTTTTCCACATACACTACATCCATCTGTTTTTTCCCCTGTATGAATTCTCTGATGAGCACTGAGGCTCAGCTTAAGGGTAAAGGCTCTTCCACATTCTGAACACACATAAGGTTTTTCTCCTGTATGAATTCTTTGATGTCTACGTAGTGTTGATTTTTCTCTGAAAGCTTTGCCACATTCATTGCATTCAAAAGGTTTCTCTCCTGTGTGTGTTCTTTGATGTACACTAAGGTGTGCCTTTTGGTTGAAGGCTCTCCCACATTCTGAACATTCATATGGTTTCTCTCCTGTGTGAGTTCTCTGATGTATAATGAGTTTTGTCTTTTCTCGGAAGGCTTTGCCACACTCATTGCATACATATGGTTTCTCTCCTGTATGGGTTCTTTGATGTATATTCAGTGTTGATTTCTCTCTGAAATACTTGCCACAATCGGTACATTCAAAGGGTTTCTCTCCTGTGTGCGTTCTCTGATGTACATTTAGATGTGCCTTTTGGTTGAAGGTTTTCTCACAATCTGTACATTTATAGGGTTTCTCTCCTTTGTGTGTTCTTCGGTGTATGATGAGATTTGTCTTTTCTTGGAATGCACTGCCACACTCGGTGCAAACATATGGTTTTTCACCTGTATGTGTTCTTTGATGTATATGTAGTGTTGATTCCTCTCTGAAGGATTTGCCACATTCATTACATTCAAAGAGTTTGTTTCCTGTGTGCATTGTTTGATGTAGACTGAGGTGTGTTGTGTTGTTGAATGTTTCTCTGCATCCTGCCCATTCATAAGGCTTTTCTCCTGTGCGAGTGATCTGATGAACAATAAGGAATGAACTTGGGCTGAGGGTTATTCTACACTCAGGACATTCATAGCTTTTGTCTCCAAGTTGAGTCAAGTCATGCTGAACAAAGCTATAAATATTATCTTTACCATACATATTATGGTCATGGGATTTCATTCCATCATTTATCTCCTGTCTGCCAGGAATTAATAATTTCCTACATCTATTACATTCATAACACTCCTGAGTTGTAAAGCTCAGACTACTAGGATTGAGTAAACTTAAATTATCGTTAACACTTTTCCCAAATGAATTATTCATATAGGGTGTGGGTCCTGAAGAAACTACCCATGTGTTCTGAGGAAGTGGGCTTACTAATTCATCAAATCCATAGCTTCTTTCTTCAGTCACATTTTTCTCAATAATGGATATAGCATGCTCCAGGTGTACATCTTGGTTTTTCTGATGCCACTCCAGGTAGTCTTCAGCTTGGCCATCTTCTAAAAAGAAGAAGAAGAAGAAGAAGAAGAAGAAGAAGAAGAAGAAGAAATCAGTGTCTGTAAATACACCTAGTCAGAAGCAGGCTTCTGATGATGTTGACCTTTATTTTCTTCTAAGTCTATGTACTGCTCAGGAAAAAGATTCCAAGCATATATCTCTCTTAAACTCAGAGCTTGAGTGAATAAAACACAAGGTGATCCAACAGACATTGAACAGGGAAATAACAATAAATATAAGTAATATAACTGTTAGCTTAAAACTGGAGAAACTAAAAACAGGTTCAGAGAGCCATGAATAGGGAAAGAGATACTAAAAGGAAAGTAAATACAGGATTGGGGTCAGGGACCCAGAATACAAAGATCCTTTCAGAAAGGCTGGGGATAATTGAAGTAAATGAAAAAAAGAAACAGAATGAGCAAGCCAGAATAGGGTTCAGTTTTTAAACAGCTCATTCAAATGTTGCCATGAGACAAACCTACTAAACTAACAATTTGTAAAGAACAATAACAATATATATATATATATATATATATATATATATATATATAATTTAAGAAGATATTTTTAAATGTAAAGAGATTTTAAAATGTAAAACTTTTACCAAAGCATCTAAGGTCTTGCTCTCATCATCTTTCAATTCTCCTTTCTTACCTGTGCAACTTGAACTCGAGATTTCTCTCTTTATGGTACCAAGCATTCCTTGTTCCAAAGAGGTGATCACTTCTGGTTTGGTAATAGGATACCCTGTAGTGGGAAATCATACAAGACTTGGGTACTCTGTTTGACACTCGGCTCAAAAAATTAGTAAGATGTGTTTTAGTAAGAGTATGCTTCACATAGGTGATTAACATCTTGTTTAAGAGGAAATAAGAAATTTAATCCCTAGAACACAAAGTATTGAAATACTTCAGGGACAGACACAATGAATTACTCAACAAGCCATCCTCACCCAGAGAGACAAGATGGCTATAATTCTCTAGCATCACATCTCTGTATAGGCTCCTCTGAGTTGGGTCCAGTTGATTCCACTCTTCCTGGGTGAAGTCCACAGACACATCCTCGAATGACACTGATCCCTGTAATTGCATAGTTTCATTCAATTAGTTTGGTAAAAATTAAAGTAACACTATGTCTTTTAAAATGTTAGTAAACCTTTGTTTTAATATTCTTTTAAAAATTGACACTTTAAAATAATTAAACATATGGACTACAATATGATGTGTGTGTGAGAGAGAGAGGGATGGAGAGGAGGAGGAGGAGGAGAAGGAAAAGGAGAGAGAGAGAGAGAGAGAGAGAGAGAGAGAGAGAGATATCAGACCAGGCTAATTGAAGTGATAATATTCTTTATGATAAACAAAATATTCTTCAAGGAGAAGCTACTGTTTTACCATTTTAAAAGTCCTTCTTAGGGACTAGGGGTGTAGCTCAGTGGTAGAATACTTGACCAGCATGCACAGGCCCCAAGCTCCATCCTCAGCACTGCAGCAGCCTTCTTCAAGATTTGCAATATCTAATCAAAGCAAAGGACCCTTACACCATAGAAACGATTAAGAACTAATGAGATAAATATTGATAATCAAATAGGAAAAATGAAATATTTAATAGATATTTCACAAAGACAGTATCCATATGGTGATTAAACATACAAAAAGATGCTTAACATCATTAGCCATTAGAGAAACACACACTTAGGTTATACTGAGATACTAGTATTTTCCAATGGAACAGCTAAAATTAAGAATAACAAACTAAATGTTGGCAGTGATGTAGAACAACAGGAATTTTCATATCTTGCTGGTAGGAGTAAAATGGTATAGACACTTTGGAAAATGGCTTGGTGGAATTATTAAAACTGAGAAACTGAAAATGTTTCTAATTTATGAAGTTGCAACTCATTCTTTGGTATATATCTAATGGAAATGTGTATACAGGTTCGCCAATACATAAACAAAAATATTCACAGAAATATTGTTTATAATAGCCAAAATAGAAACATCCATCAGCAATGGATTCGAAGAGTAATTTTGAACTACTTATGGAATAGAATGTTACACAATAACAGAAATAGAACAAACTACTGACACCTAATGTAACAAGGATGCATATTTAAAACATGATGGGCTGCTAGTACATGAATGGACTTTGGGAGTCCTCTCCACATAGAGGGATACTCTCTCAGCCTAGACACATTGGGGAGAGCCTAGGCCCTGCTCCAAATGATATGGCAGACTTTGAAGATTCTCCCATGGAAGGCCTCACTCTCCCTGGGGAGCAGAAAAGGGTTGGGATAGGGGGGTCAGTGGGGGGCAGGGGAGGAGGGGAGGGAGAGGGAACTGGGATTGACATGTAAAAGAAGCTTGTTTCTAATTTAAATTAAAAATTAAAAATAAAGAAAAATGTTAAAAAACCATGATGGGCTAGAGATGTATCTCAATGGAAAAGAGCTTATGTAACATTTGTGAGGCCCTGGGTTCCATTCCCAGCATCACAAAAAAAAAATCCTGACAAGTGAAAGAAGTCAGATCCAAAAGAATAATATGTATATTTCCATTTATGTGAAATTCAAGAAGAGAAAAAATGATTTATGATGATAGAAATTAGAAAGTGGTTACTATAAATAAAAAAAAAACAATGATTGGAAATGGCATGGAAGCTTCTGGAAGGGACGCCATTTCTTCCTCCTTTTGATTCAGGTATTGCTTCAATCTGTAGAAGTTCATAAAACTGTATACTTTATATGGTTTTCTACCTATGTTATATTTCAATAAATCTACCTCATAAGATTTTTTTGTCTAAGTTATATTTCCACAAAGGTTTAAAAATAGGAAGACAAGGATTTTAAACCGCCAGTGGAAAAAGAAAAGAGTATTTGAAAAAAATTCACAAAAGAAATATAAAAAAAGAAAAAGATGAAGTTGTTCAACCATATTGATAAACACAAACCAAAACTTATTTCCAATTATCATATTGCAAACCTTAAAACTATAACAAGAGGATTCAAAGGGTCCTTCCACTCATTATTAGAGAAGCTGTCAACTTGTATTAACATTTAAATATGCAGTTTGGTAATATCTATGCAAGTTCACAACACACCCACCTTTTCAAACAGACACTTTAGAAATGCTCATCTCTGAAAACAAAGATGACAAGAGATCACCACCACACCAAAAGAAATTACACAGAGGTCCTTCAACATGAAGTTCATCAATAAATCATGTTGTGTGAATACATGAGAAAAAATATAGCTGTTTAAAATATTCCTATGTGAGCCAGCTTTGGTGGCATATACCTATAATCTCAGCACTCAGGAGGCTGAAGCAGGAGAATTCCAAGTTCAAGGTCAGCTGAGGCTACATGTATGAAACACTATCTCAAAACTAAAACAAAAATTTGAATAAAACAAAATAAAATCTCAATTAGCAAGAAGTGTAGCTCTGTGGTAGAGCACTTGCCTAGCACATAGGAGACCCTGGGTTCCATCCTCTGTGCTGCTTTTAAAAAACACAAAGAACAAAAACTTCTGTGTCCCTGATACTGAAACATCTGTAAAAAAGTATTCATTTAGTAGGGACTATCTTATTCCAGCTGTGCCAGTACATGTTACATGTGAAAATCCATGTAATTTGCTCATCTACTCTGTTCCTCACCTGGAAGATATGAATGATAATTGTGTCTATTTCATAGTGCTATTATGAGTATTAAAGTTGCCCATGCATATAAAGTATTTTTAGTATAATGCTGTGCTCACTTGCTACCACTCCTATCAGCATTAGCATCACTATGCGTTTTTGTCATCATCATTATCACTACAGATTGAACGGACCTTACCTAAAATGCTGAGAGAAGGAAGTAGTTTAATTTTGGGATTTTTGAGTATTTGTATATCTTCACATAATAAGATATTTTTGGGATGAGATCCAAATGTATACATGGAATTCCTTTATTCATATACATACTGCTTAAGGCAATTTTGTAAAATACTTTCAGGATGCCTGCATTTTGGCCATGACCCATCATCACATAAGGCCAGTTGTGGAATTTTCTCCTTGAGGCATCATGTCCATGAAGCACAAAGTTGCATATTTTGTAGCTTTGGAAAATTTAGGTTTTTAGTTTAGGAGTGCTCACTTTGTACTGCTGTGACTGTTGTAATTTAAGATAAGCAGCATGCAAGAGAAAGATGCCATGAGACAGGGTTCAAGCAGAGGGTTTTTTATTAGGGAAAGGGATCATAAAAAGGGGAAAGGGGAGGGAGGAGGCCAGCCTCTGGAGACAGGAGCAGCAGGAGAGAGGAGAGAGGAAAGAGGGGGAAAGAGAGGAAAGAGGGAGGAGAGAGGGGAGAGAGAGGAGAGGGAGAGAGTAGAACAGAGGGAGAGAAAGAGAGAGGGAAGGATGGGAGGTGGGCAGTGCCCTTTTAAAAGGGAACATAGTGAATATGCATAGGTGGTGATCTTAGTGGCTGCAGCTGCAGCTGAGGGCGTATCCTGTCAGAACCCCAAGGACAGGCCAGTACAGATACCTGAATACTAATAGTAACCAATATTACTCTGTAAAGGGCAGACAAAGAGTTGCAAGTTTTATTTAATGAGTAAATTTTAACAAGAGGAATGCATGCTAACTATTTTTATATTAGAAATATATTATTGTATTAGAAATGTATGTGAATATAGAAAGAAAGAACAAGGCAGACAGGGAAGAAGTTAGCCAAATTCAAATGATCTGCAATGACTGGTGATACGGTATCATGTGATAATTTCCCTTTTATTTTTATTTATTTATTTTTTTGGTTTTTCGAGACAGGATTTCTCTGTGTAACTTTGGAGCCTATCCTGGCACTTGCTCTGGAGACCAGGCTGGCCTCGAACTCACAGAGATCTGCCTCCCTCTGCCTGCCGAGTGCTGGGATTAAAGGCGTGTGCCACCAAAGCCCAGCATATTTATTTTATATTATATCATTATTGTTTTACTGGGAGGATAAAAAATGGCCATCCTAGCACTCTGCCAAATGAACTACATACAAGTCCTAGTTTCCTCTTCTAGACTGCAAAGTCCTTGAGAGTTTATTTCCTGCACTGAGGTTTGAATTCAAGGCCCACTGCATACTAGACAAACTACCCTCAGTCTCTCTCTCTCTCTCTCTCTCTCTCTCTCTCTCTCTCTCTGTCTCCTCCTCTTTCTGGTGGGGTGTATAATTAACTAACCCTTGGTTTTTTTTAAACAGTCTTGCTACATGGCTTGGGGTGGTCTGGAACTCACTAGGTAACCCAGGTTACCCTCAAAATCTTGATCATTGTGCCTCTACCTCCTGAAAATTGGAATAATAAACATGTGTGACTATGTTCACTAGAGAAGTTTGAATTTTTGATGCCATTGCTATTTCACTTTTGTACAAAGGTGAAACAATACAGACTTGTAAAAGAAGGGCAGAGGGAAAGAACGTAAAATGGTCTGGAATGTTATGAATTCTGAGACTAAAAGTAAAAGGACAATCCTATGGGTTTCCTAGATAGTAAAAATGAAAAAACTCTATTGGAAAATAATTTGAAGTACATATGGCTTATATCATCTTCCTGGCCATGGAGATTTTATTCACATGTAGTCCAGAACATGTTTGTGTAGGCTTGGTTTGGCTTTCATGAACAGTCACATCCCTTTTAGTTTTGCTCTAGCAGGACATCTTTGGTTTACAGGAAGATAATTTAAGTCATAACAGAGCAATATTAACCCTATGTTTATCATAAGTTTTCTAATAGGAAGTTGAAGCCACCCATCAGAGAACTGTCTGATCAACATTAGGAAAACATTAAGCACCTGTGGAAGTGATTTACTGTCTGTAAGGGTGACTTAAATCAAGTAAATATGTCTGATTCCCTTTGTGTTGTGGCTTATAGAAAGCTCAGAAAAGTAACTGTACCTTAATGTAAATATATAAAATTCTATGATACATACACACAGATACATATTTCACACCTGTGCTGGTCTTGTTATATATATCCTTAAACTTTGTGTTTATACATATCAATTTATAGAATAATTAATACACTAATCCATATACTCATATATAAGGTTTATGATGTATGCATCAAGGCATTGTTCTAAACACATTAGCTCAATTGCCCTTCACAACCACCATAAAAGGTAAGTATTATTATCATCCTAACCATTCCTATTTTAGAGTTAAGGAAACCAAGGAGCTTTGGTAAGCTCCTAAAGCTAGTAAGAGCAATTTAGCTGCAGATTCTATAGTCTTTACCACCATCCAATATTGCTTCTATCCTAATATGGGCAGAGGGTAACTGGGAGAAGCAAGTAAGAACTTACCCAGGACTCAGTCATGACTGACTGTTGTGGAGGGAAGGCAACGGCCTAAAAAGGCAGAACTGTTGAGAGGGAGAAGAAAAGAGAAGAGCTTCAGACGGCAAGGATAACCAGATTGAAATTTCACCAAATCACCAGGCCAGAAATCCACAAATGCCATGTGGTAAAATGGTAACGGTATAGCTAAGAAAAAAAAGGGAAAGGGCATTTGCTTTCCCCCAGGGATTCCCATCAACCAACAACACCTCATAGGCCATTGCATATTTATCACAGATTCCCAAGCGCCGACTTAAAGCCCCCAATCATATATTCTACAATACCCCACATCACTTACACTACTGAGCCTGATTATCACAAGCCCCAAATATTCTCATCATTCACTCCACAGCCCGCCTCAACCAAAGCCTCCACAGACCCTACCACTCATTCAACGTATCTCCATCTCTCTGCTAGAAACACCCTGCCCAGATTCTCATTACTCATGTTTGAGCCCCTCCCCAAGTACTCACCCAGTAAATTTGCGTCTCTGCAGAGTCCACACTCGCCTGTCTCACTCCGCCTGCCAGAGTACCAGCCCTCTCACTTCCGCTCTGAGTGAACTCCGCTCTCTTTCACTCCCTTCGATCTTAAAATCTGAATTATTATGCCGGCAAAGTCTCTTTAATGTTTCCCAAATCATTCATAACTTCCTGTGACGGCCACTTATTAGTCCTTTACCCCGCCTTGGATACTGTCAGTCACACTAAACTTGCTCATGCGCAGAAGTGCTTCCCGAAGCCATCTGCGCTAGCAGTCCTAAATATTTTGATTACCACAAGGATCAAATTTGCAGGCAGGAAAAATGGATGCGCCAATAAGCCGCGTTTTCAGGGAGCGGACATCTTTATATCCTTTGCCATTCCGTACAATGGAGAAAATCTGCATCTCGGTGTTTGAAGAGATGTGATTTTGTGAGGAATTTGAACACTTGGAGATAAGAATAGGACTTTTGTACAAAGGCATACTAATGACCGGCAGCTTTTAGAACTGAGTGCTACAGGCCCCGCCTCTGTTTCCCCCAACCCTTACCCTCCGCAGGGAGATACCACTGCGGAGATGGGGGATAGCTGGAACGCCGCCACCCTTCCTGGGAACTCTTCGGTGTAAATCAGAGCAGAGAACATTACGTTCCTCTAAAGACAGCCACCGCTGTGTGGATGGGGGAGAGATCGTGTAGTTGGTGGTTCCTTCAAGGAACTAGAGAGGTAGGTATTATTAGGCTAGCTGTTAAGAAGATTCAGATTGGTATGATCCTCTGTGGGAAATACCAGGATGCGGATGTAGGCAAGTCCGGGGGTCGTAAGATTCTGTGCTCAGAGAAAGAGATACGTGAAGAAAGTGACATCAGTAAACACAGGTGCTGGGAGAGTCAGAGACAGAAACTCAGGGAGGGAGGGACCCTAACGATATTGTGTCTTAGAGAGGAAGGGAGAATCCACAAAGTCCTGACAGTGACCATTTCCCTTCGTCCCTGCATGCCCACATTTCTGGGAACCTGTGGCAGAGAGATTTGAGAAAGTGTATAAGCCAGGCTCTGGGTCCTATGGAACCGGCCTCAGGGGCTTCTAGAGTCCTTGAGGAACCAGCAGGAGGCTGTTCCAGCTCTGGACTTCAGACACATTCTACTATCATTTA